GGGTGAGCGCCTGTCATGTCGTGACAGGAGACCGCTGCATACCGGCAAGGGGGAACCCACCGTTTCTCACCAGGCGAGAAACGGCCTGAGGGAACGGATGAAATTCAATAGGAATAAGTGTGACGAGGTGGGCTTGGCAGGAGTACCCCGAGAGCTGAACGTGAGCAGCGCCTGCCGCAGGGGAGTCACCAGGCGTCTTCTTGGAAGCTGCGAGTAGCAGGGTGCCCTGCAAGACACAGGAAGAGCTTCTGCTTGGGGTTGCTATCCTGGCAGTTGGGGAGGTCTCGGCAGGATCACAACGCCCGATTTTGGATGCGGCGCTTCAGGAATGATGCCGGAGTCCTAGGAGGAACGATGGAACCATCAAAGCTCCAGCAAACTTGGCTTATGAAGAAAGACAACGTTTGAGTCGTTCTACTTAGAAAAAAGAAGACTAATGGAATGTAATGCTTACTTTCATCTTTGAGACTCGTTGTTTCCTCCATGTCTCTGAGGAGCAAGATAAGAAATTATAGGCTTAAACTGCAGCAGGGAACGTTATGGTTAGGTATGAGGATAAAAATTTCTACCAATAGGATGACTCGACTGCGTTGGAAAGATACAGAATTTCTATTGTTGCAGGCCTTTAAGAACAGATTAGATTGTCATTACTTCCGTTTATCATGCAGGTATGCCAGCTATTACATTTAAAAAGTGGTGCAGAACACCCAAATACTTCCCTAAAGAGCAAATGGAGACATTTTTCTAATGGTCCTGCACTTAAACAAATACTTTGCTCTGTGTAAAGCCTAAACGTTTGCGTATTTCCTTCCTTTTCCTTGATAAGGTTTGGTTTATACTGGATTATAGTTGCTGATTTTGGGGTGCAAGGTGTTTCCTCCCGTTCCATTTGATTTGCAGAGAATGAAACGCCACCGTGCTTCTTCCAGTAAGATGGGGGAGACCTCTGTTGGGCGAATGGTAAAACGATCCCGTAAATCAGTACATGAACAAGGGCCTTCCAGCAAAAAACAGAGAACAGATGGAGGAGGAAGAAAACAAGGTCAAAAAGGAGAGGTAATCACTACTTTGGTTCAAACAGGTTAGAAAAGTAACCCAAGATCAAAGAGGGTTTTTGCCCACTTTTTTCTAGTGGAGTACTTAGAGAATATTTCATTAAATCGAAGTCATCCCCTTGAGGAAGTTCTTTAGAGATGTGCTGCTGTAGCTAGAAAGTCTGGAAACGAGGAAGCAACGTGTGCTATTATGCGTTTGACCAGTAGAGGGAAGTATTGTCTGATAGTTAACAAAAGGGCAAGCTGGCTGTGCGTTTGAGGAGAGGGATAAAATCTATGTTCCTTCAGCTCAAGTGAAGCTGATTCAGTTCTGGAGAATATTCTCTGCACGTCTCAGGGTTGGCCTAGAGAATTTTCTGTTGGAGAGAGCTTGCTTAACAGCTTACCTCATGAGCAGTATTATTTCAAGATGTGGCTAGATAGATGAATTTAAGCACTTTCTTACCTTGTGCATTTGTTATTTCATGACCATACTTTTGGAATGGGAGGAACTGAGAGGAGTGAACTACTTTCCTTAACCTGCTTGAGAGGAATGCTATTTTACAGTGGTCAGTAGTAGCAGACTGCTGTCAAGCACTAAATTGCCTTCACAGCCTTTTCTGTAGCAGGTTGCTGGTAGTAAATGAATGGTTCTGCAACAGAAGATGTTTCCCAGTTATCACATTTGCTGTAAATCTTTCCTTTCAGCAGATCACTCAGACAATCAAATGGAAAGCTAAGGAACACGGGGACTATTCTCCTGCAGGTAGGAATGAGTTCTTTCCTTATGTTTGTCTCACAGCTTTGGAAATACACTGAAATTAAGAAGTAATAAACTGGTATGTTGAAACGATAGCTGTATTAAATATGCTATTGAAATAAGTTTCATGGTTTTCTTTCTAAACAGTAACAATGCTTATTTGCAGTACAGTTTTAGTCACTATGCATGCATATAGCACGTGCTGCATATGCATAGTAATTGTATACTTTGCCTGCAAGTAGTATTTTCTTGTTCTGGGTGCTGGTGGTAGAATATTTCGCTTTTTAACTCACTTTTCATAGATCTTTGTCTTCTGTCTTAAGACTGGCATATGTGATATTGAACATATAAATAAGACAAGGCCTCTACTGCATTGATTTTCCCATTTATTTATGTTCCTACCCTGTTTTATTTCATTTTGGGTTTTCCTGCTTGTATCACCAATGATTTGGGGAAAATACCAGCTTAGAATGAAAGCTTTTAAAAGAAAAACTCTTCTATTTTGTGCTTGCTGCACAACACTATTTATAGCTGTGACGTTCAGACTTAATGTACCACTTAATGTGGCTAGATAGTGAGCTGATATTTTTGTGAGAAGGAAAAAAATCTTACCTGATACATTTCTGACCACACGATAACTGAATTGAGTTATTTACTACAAAGCTGTTTCTGTGTTTGATAAATCATATATTTTCTTTTTTTTTTATTAATACAAACAAAAGAAAATTGTTCTTCAAAAAAAATGAAGCTAACCAGTGCTGAAATAGCATCTTGGCAGACTCTCTCAGAGAGCAGCAGGCAGTTTCTGGAAACTGTGATGGATTCAGTAATACTGTAAGTGCTGGACATTCTAGTGTTTTTTTTCTTTCTATCTGCTTCCCTAAGCAATAAAGTAAAAGCCATAATATTGCCTAAGCTGGAAAAGTGTTTGAGCGTATTTGGACAATGTAACTGGCTGTGTATGTTTTATCTAGTAGAATATAATGCTTTTTTATCTGAAGTTGGAAATTTTCATCTAGAGAAGTTCTGACTGTTTACTTTGCTTGCGAAGTTCTTTGTGCTTGCTGGCTCTCTGGTGAAAATTCTGCCTTTATTTTTTTTCCAGATCTGTTTTGTGCCAACAAAGGGAGAGGAAAGATGCTGTTCAGAAACACCTCAATCTACTGAAAGAAAGGTAAGAAATCAAGAAAAAAAAAATGAATGAAGGGAATCTGATTTACCCAGTTATTTTGTACCATGCTAATAGAATTGCTCCTGGGAGCAATCACCTTTAGGAAGTCTTGGAAGGGAGATTTGATGCAAAATCAAGGAGGGAAGTATCTTGACGGTACAAGTCATGCTTTCCTATTTTCATAACACAGGATGCTGAGATTTTTCAAGACCTTAAAGGTACCTCCGGGAAAGCTGGGCAACCTGAAGAGTTTCCTGAGCCTTCAAGTGGCAGAAAAGCAAATGCTTGAGACAAATGAAGAGTCTTTGGTACAATTGCAGGTATGAAAGGCAAGAAAGGGAACAAAATATGTCTTGTCCTTCTTCTGCTTGTTCGTGTGTTGTAATCTTTTAGCAGAGGGGCTGTTGGCCATGTCTTCCCTATTCATCATAGTCAACCACCTTCACTATTAAGTGCATTAAGTGTCTTTTTGGCTGTTTTCTCAGTGATTCAGCTGGTATTTTGGAGAAGGTGCTTTGAGTTGGAAAATGCTGATTACTGTATAAAATACTATCAAGAGATGGAAGAGATGATAGTTCTTCAATCCTGTTAATGTCTTGATCTAGGCTTTTTTTTCTCTCTTCAGTCTTTAGGACAGTTTGTGTGGGGACTCTTGCACAGTATTTTATACACAAATGGCTCACCATCTCTAGAGCAGTTTTTGTTATTGTTCTGTGTTTGTGTCTCTTTTACCTTAGGAAGAAATAAATGAAGCTGAAAGATCAGCAGAACACATAGATGAAACTATACAGCAACTACAGTACAAAATCCAGGTGCTCAGGAGCCAGTTGGAGGAAGATGAAAAAAAGGCTAAGGAGGTACTTACAACAAATGTTGCTGCATTCCTATAAGGAGAAAGTTTTTTTTCAGTGCTAGCCCATCCAGGCTGTTTCTACAGAGAGCCTAATATAAGGGAGGCCTCATCTGCCTTTGAGAATGTACCTTTTCAATCTTCCCAACTTCATTTGCAAAGCTAAGAAGTTTTTGTGTATTTTTTTTTTTCTGGATGATGACGGTCAGTTTATTTTCCTACATGCGTCTCTGATCCCCCCCTTCCTTCTCCCTTCTCCCCCTAGATATTCCAGGAAGACTGCAGAGGAGCACTCCACCTTCCAGAACTCCCCAAGCACAGTTTAGAGACACCCACTCTGCAGGTGAGCAGGGAGTGTTTCTGTTTTCAGAAACACCTTGGCAATGAGAAGGAGGGCAACAGAAAACGTTCTTATCACTTAACCTCTTTAGCCAGAAGGAGCGAAAACTCTAAAGGGTTTTTTGTTTTGTTTTTTTCCATTGAGAACTATATGCTTGTGTGGTGGGTTTTTTTTTTTGGTTTGGTTTTTGTTTTTTGTTTTTAGTCTAGAAAACATGCCATGTAAGGATCACGTGGTCTCTATCTTCCTAGTGACCCTAAGGTCCTAGGGAGCGTGTAATCATTTTTATAATAAGTCACCGGGTAACTCTGATGGAAGGAAGTCTGTTGCATTCTATGTCTTTGATCTCTCTCTAAACTTAAAAATAACTACACTGTATTAGCGTGATGGAGTGAAATTCCTGTTGGAGTCAGTAAAATAAATTATTGCCTATTTTTCTTAATAACTTTTTCTTACTTTAGGAAGAAATTTTGAAGATAAAAAATAAGAAGGGTCTTCTGAAGGATATGAACACTATTCAGCAGTCAGCTGAAATGAAGAACATGTTAACCCTCATTGAAAAGATCTATGAGAAGGTGGACAACCTTTGAGAAATCAAAATATGCAGAGTCTGCTTTGAAGCAAGATAACCTATGCCAGTATTCTATGCTAATGCAGAACAGCAGATGTCGATCATGGAAACAGTACTCTGGGTTCCTAAACGTTCTATTCTTGAGACTACTGAATTTCTGTTAAAACATTGCTTATGAATATTGACATAAAAATTCATAGATGCTTTTTGGGACTTTAGTGATTTAAGTACTCATTCAAGAATTTTTTTTGACCAGCGAGGACCTCATCTAATGAGGATAATATATTTTCTTAGAAGAAGAGAGGGAAATGCGTTTTGGGTTTATCTGTACGTTTTTTTGTATGGACTTGGGCAATGTATTCTGTTATATATGGACTTTTATATCAAATCTGTAAATTAGTAAATAAAGTGCCTCTTATAAAACTAACATTCATTTCAGAGTTACATTCTCTTTAAACCTGAAGCACATAGTAAAGATAAGTTTATCTAACGCTGAGTTGCAAATTCCCTTTCCTGCAGGAGATCGAGCCATTTTATCAACTGCAGAGGATTTCTTACGTTTTCAATTTACTGCTTAAAACAAGGCATTTACACCTGGTTTATCCAAATGACTGCGGAAAGCAGATGAGAAGATTATGCAGCAAAATTCTAATCTCAAAGATATGTATTCACTTCATCAATTGCCAGGTATTCCTCAGCATTAGAAAATGAAGTCAACTGTGTGTTTTCCTCATGGACTTCCATCTCTTCTGTATTGGTCAATGGTAGAGCTCCTCCATTTAAAGATTCAGGTATTATAAAGCATTTTCTTTAGCCAAATTATCATCTGGAGAACTTAGCAGTGCTTTTGATATTGACTTACCAAGAAAACATTTATTCATTTGTTACAAGCTGCTGGTACCCTTAATGAGGCATAAGGTAGTTACCTCTATTCCCCTATGAGAGATTAAAGGCTTTCTGTAATTGCTATATGTAGGATAGGACAAATGGGTATGAAAAAGAAGTAGACAAGTTTATAACGGGTATATCTGTCAGTGACTTAAATGGTTAGGAAGCAGTACTCATGCAGGAAGTCCCTGAACTGTTGATTTACTTTTAATCGTACGTAATGATAACTGTGAAGGACAGGATACTGAGCTCAGATGAATTTTTGTTTAGCTATTTGCAGCACTTCTTATCTTCCCCTCTAGAAATTGGAGAGCTTTTGCAGTTATTCCTACATGGCTAGATCTTGGACTTGAATGAACACCACGTTACAGACTTTGAGATTTCTGGCCTATTCCCCTCCTTTCATAGCATACAAATTAGTCAGCTCAGATTATGCTCAAAATCTTCTTTATGGCTAAAGAGGAAGCACACTTTATGTACATATCTGAATATGTGCATGTATGCACACATATATGTAGCACACCTTATGCAAAGCCGAGGATTAGTATACTGTTAGTATAATTGACATCTTAAGAGTCTAGTTGTCTTTAGTCCGGATCCAGTTGTGACAGAAAAAGAAAGAATAATAATGCAGTTTAAGTTGTTACATGCACTTATTTTCTACCCGTTTTCTGCATGCTGTGCTCACTCTTCCACTACTCCTCTGGGTCCTAAAGGTTGGTGGTTTCATTCTGGTGGTACTGAGACATGTTACAATGAATTATCAGAATTGGGAGCCCTTTGCTGGAAGGAATATGATCTTCACGCTGATGGTTTCTCCTCCCTCCCCAGGATACCCTTCAGGTCGTTTTTATATGTTTGCTAATACACTTTTACACCTTTGCTCTTTCTTCTTGAGTGGCAGTTCTGTGTGATGTCTGAATTTACTGTATATGGTGTCTTCTATGTAGGTTAGATGCTATTTCTTTGTTACCCATAAAACCAGTTTTGTCCAGCTCCAGATCTGTGTCTGTTCAGTTAAAGAACCAACCATGGATAAGTTGCTTATAGCCTTGGATTCTCCAGTACCAAGCTGTCTTATCACCCCATGCCTGTACTTCTCTGTCCTTTGTGTCCACTTCTCAAGGCCTCTGCTGTCATACCAGGCCTCTATTTCTATATGGTACATCGTTATGTTAGTCGTAAATATCTCATCCAGCGTGGAATAGCTCCTTTCTAGTGCTGTGTATGTAAAACTATAGTTGTACCCTACCAAGATAAACAAAACAGCCATAGACACCTGGTCAACTAGAGGAATTTCTGTTGCAGCTAAGCTGAATAAAACAGGGTTGCAGGCATATCAAGTAAAGTTCAGACAGAAGGAAAATTCAGGCTGAGACCTGACCAGTCTCATTACTGAGTCCTTGTAAATTTAGTAGAAAGATTATGGCCTGTTACTAGCAATGGCAGTGCTGTAATGCAGGACTACGTGACTGCAAATGCCATAACTTTGTGGATTTTTTTTTTTTTTTGACTGGCTGTAGATAGTTAATTTTGGATTGTCATACTCACAAATACTACTTTGACTACATAAAACAGGAACTAATAAAACAGACTGTTGTAGGAGGTGGTCTTAGCTCAGCTTATTTGATGATGGATACCCTTTGGAGTAGCAGAATGATCACATTTTGATTTCTGATTGAGACTAATGGCCAAAGTAGGCCAAAGAAAGATCTATTGATCTGTGTGTGTGTGTGTGTGTTGGTGTGTGTATGATTTGATCTGGTTATAAATGCTAAGTCACTGGAGGCATCAGGAACAGTTCTTGAAATTCACAAACCTTGGCTTAAAGTACGAAGCTACAGTTCTCTTAACACGAGTTAGTAATCCTGCTATATCTTATCTTACTCATACTAAAATGAGGTATCTTGCTGCATGCACTCTCCCATAACAATTTAATGTTCCTTCTTCAGCAGGCTCTTATCCTTTGCTTTGTGCTGTAGGTTATCAGGTCCAAATCAGAAGGGCAGTACTGCTTAGTATCATCAAACTGGCCTGACAGGAAGGAACAAAAAGTTAGGTAAGAGGCCAGCAGGGCTGCAATTCTGCTGCTTGTGGCTGCTTAGTAAGGTGTATTTCCTCTTTGGCAGAAAACGTTTCAGTTTAGTTGAGGTTCTTAATTCCTCATGGCATGAAGCTTAGCACTGAGAATGAATTTGACCTCTGGGAAGAAAAAAGATAATTATAAGTATGTGCAAAGCAGATCATTAATTGATACCAATGCAGAGAGAGATTAAACTTCTCAAAGAAAAATTAAAGGTTCTTGCTGGAGCTCTGTACTTTTAAACAAGTTTAGTACGCTTACAGAGTCCCTCCTCCTCAGAAGGTGTGGTTGGCTCTTGCTTTGATTTCTGTGCTCCCCAAAAGAAAGAAAGAATAAAGCTTTTAGGAACAATATACCAGTTTGGAACAATACAACTATATTTTCAGTGTCAGGCCTTTTTTTTTTTTTTTTTTTTTTTTTTGTCTACTGTTCTGTTATTCCTGATGCAGAAAAAGCCACAAAGTGGACGCATTTTCTTATCTCCTAATTTCAAGCTCATCATTGCAATTTGGAAGGACGAGCTACAAAAGCGATTGGGTAATAAGGTAAGTGATCAGTTGGTCAATCAGTGCAACATTTATTTTCAATCTAAACATATTTCTAGGTATAAAGCTGTAAGAAGCATTCTTCCATAGAAGTAGCCGTACACTCAAACATGCATCAATGTTGTGTTTAAATATAGTTATACCGACATAGCATAGCCCTTTTGTGACACGGAAACAATTTTACCCTTGGAAATTGTGAGAAAATGCAGTATAAGCTTCAAAGAAAGGCAGATATGCACATGTGATCACAGAATGGGATTTTTTTTTTTAATTTTTGTGTTTAGCGAAACAAAACAAGGAACTAGGGGAGAGCTTGATACTGATGCGAGATCACATTGATCCTGAAAGACGTTTTCCTATCTTAGGGCACAAGTGTGTTGGTGTAACAATGTAAGCTTGACTACATTGTTCTGTTGATATTCCTCAGGACTGACCTGGGGAGCAAATTGCCTGTACTATGCTGTGGCCTATTCAGCCCTTAATTTGTCTGCTAAGGATACCGATAAGTGACCCAGTTAGTGCTGATTGTTATGTTGTTTTTCTGTTAAACAAACCCCTGTCACTTAGAAACTGGACTAAATGTTTGAAACATAAATACAGCCTGGAAGTGAATTTCAAGTTAGGAAATGCGAAAACCTTTGGAAAAATAATATGAGCTGTGAAATGTGTGGAAAGTAATACATTTCAGAAGAAGGACAGATCAGCCCACTTGTATTTGAAATAAGTAAATAGAAGCCTTTTTCTATGGGTAACAGATCAACCCCAACGCAGTGATGTCAAAAAGACTGTCATTACTTTGTGGTAGATCCGCTATAAGGCTAATAGGTGTGGCTGGGTTGTATCGTCCATGCCAAGCGTCTTCTATATTTGTAGTATTTGATACTTATTTGATCTTTATTCCCAAAAAGCTTTCCATGTGAAAATGCTGAAAGGGGGGACTTGAGGAAGTTATTGTGTTTTATGAAATTGTCAGCTATGTCACCCAGTTCCCACACATTATTATTTTCCTGCATGACTCTTCATACCTTGTCTGCGTTTCCCAGGCAGGTCTGCAGGAAAGATGCTGGTGCTGAACTGTTCCATGAAGCTGCAGATGCTGGAGAAAACGTTAATATTAAGCTTCCCTGAGTCCCTCAAGGTAACACGGAGCTGACCTGTCTTTTTTTATGCTATTTTATTCCATGAATGAGCCAGAACATTTGTGAAGAGATCAAAAGTTGTGGGGAAATAGTTGTGGTTCTTGCAGATTGGCTGATGTTTAGTGTTTGGTTCTGAGATAGAGATTGGTTCTGCTTACTAAACCAAATCCACATACTTAAGAAAGAAAGAAGCAAAACAGTCCACTCCCTCTCCAAAGTAATTAGGTTGCTATAATCGGACATGGGTTTATCTGCATGATAATATGCTTTACTGATGTGTATGCATGCATGCATCTATGCCATATATGTGCATGCATTTGAAAGTCTAAATGTGTGCTTTCAGCTCCATGTTCCTGGTTCAGTCTAATTTACAAAGGGAGATGGCAGGTGCCACGTTAGTATATCTCAAACTGTCTTTTCTCCCTTGACTCTTTATGCTGCAGGTTTATGGAGCTCTGATGAATATCAACCGAGGGAATCCCTTCAGGAAGGAAGTGGTGGTGGACTCGTGGCCAAACTTCAAAGCTGTTATCACCCGGCCACAGAGGGAGGTAGTTTGAGGTGTTTTATTTTTGCTCGTGAGCTGTGAATCCAACAAAGCTTGCTCTCAGCTTTGAGAGCTTTGTGGATGGGACTAGCTTTAGCTGGGAGTGGGTAGGAACCATAAAAATGTAATAGCCCATCCCAGGTGGGTGCCAGCACAACGCCTGCTTCAGGGAGCATTGCTCTTTACTGAAACATACTGACTAGCAATTATAGGCTAATTGAAACTATCCATAAAGTGCATGCTGTAACTGATTGTAAATATCCTACTTGCACTGTCTGAAGAATAACTTGCATAGCTTCTGCGGAAGATACATTTTATCTATGCTCATGCCACTTGACTGCACTTTCCCATGTTTCTTTGGTATCTCTAGATTTAGTGTAGGCAGACAGAAAGAAGAGCCTTAGTGAGCTTGTGATGGGGCAGAGCTTCAAGGTTAATAAAGAGTCTTTTCAGATCTTTTGTTCCAGAACAGACTGTGCTAAGGAGAAGCTGGGAAGGGGCATTGCTTTTCTACAGTGGACAGAAGGCTCTGAGGCAATCATCTGAGCTGCATGGATTTACCTTGGGGGTGGTGGATACCTCCCTGCTCCAGTCAATGAAACAAGTTCTTCTTGGTCTGTAGTCTTACATCAGGCGCTGCAGCTCAGCTGCCTGTGCTGTTAAATCCTTAGCACGCTCTCTGGGACAAGCAGCTCTCTCCCCAACAACTCCTAGGCCAGCAAAACAGGAGTCAGCACAGGCCACGAACAGTCTCCAACTGGCAGTTTGGATGTAGCCACCCTGTTTTGGAGACTGAGACTTTAATAGTGTTGACATGGCCCGACTCTGCTATTTCAGCTTGGGGACAGACAACCGACCTTGGTGCTATTTTGTTTACCAGAAGAGATGTGGTCTAGGTATCCTGACCTCAGGAGCAGGGTAGATAACACAGCATTGGTTTTGGGAGAGACCAGTAGAAGGAATGGCCTTTGATTAGGATTAGGCAAGAATTTCAAGAAACTGCTGCCAGGCCTAGGTTGCTGTGCCTGTATTTAGTGACTCCCTTGGGTACGTGAAAGATAACTTAGGGTAACTTCCTTTGCTGCTCTCTGCTCTCATGGCGCTGTGGAGAGCAATAGATATTTCTGCTCTCTTGCTTGAGAGTCACTGCTGAAAATACCAAAGAAAATATCCTAACAAAGCCATTCTGAAGCTCCAACTATTTGTTGTATCTGTGGGGTTGGGTTTCAGTGAATTTTGATTCCAATGGGAAAGATGTGGGGGAGAGGGGGAGAACTTGTAATTCCTCCATGTTTTTTTATCCCCAGAATTGCAGGGATAACCTTGACCATTACACCAATGCATATGCAGTTTTCTACAAGGAGGTACAGGTTTACAAAGAGCTACTGGAAAACACAAACACCATAAACTGGGGACAAATTTTTCAGATACAAGGTACAGTACAGCTCTGCTTTTTTTTAGGAAAGCAGAATAAGTAAACTAGCTGGTTTAAAAAGCTTTAAGGCAGTGTAGGTGCTCTCATTCTACTTTATATAAAGGTTTCATGCAAAGTATGAGATCCAGGGTATGGCTGTTCTAGCTTTTGAACGTCATCTGTGTTGTTGTATTCACTATCACCATCTCAAGTTCTACTTTCAATTATTTCCTTGCTGGAAGGCGCATCAGTATATACGTTTTCTTTTGGTCGTAGGAGTCTGTAGATGACATATAGGCTGAGCCCTAGTGATTGTGAATGTGGTAGTAGAGGTCTATTGAAAGTCAGTGGTTGGAAGCCAAACTTAGACAAGATTGAAACGGGAAACAAGATTCACATTTTCATGGTGAAGGTTACTAGTTAGTAAAACAACCTACATGTGCAATAGGTGAATTTTCCATTACTTGAAATTTTTGTATTAGGCCTAGGTAACTTACTGTGGCTCAAACTGAGGGTAAGAGTTAGATGTGGAGGTCACTAGGAGAGGGTCTATCTGTGTTGTCATTGTTCTGGTGATCAGATTAGATAAATAGTTTGGCAGCTTCTCATCTTCGATTATATAAAGCTGTGGCCAGAGAATCTTGTTAGTAATTTTGGAGGTCTCATATACCTGAATAGTTCCATTCAAGGTGGAATCTTGAGCTTTTATTTTCAAAATATGCTTTCTTTTTAAAATGGCTCAGTGTTTAACTTTTTATATACACAGGGCTCCAGGAAGGAATATGTGAAGTATCCAGAACTGTGGCTTTATCTAAGCAGGTAGATGTGAAAACATCCTCTTTCCAGATGGTTATTCATTCAGACCCAGATACACTGCCAGATGTCAGATTTCGGTATGTAGAATCATATTGATAAATCTTATTGCTATAGCAATATATTTATAGAAAGTACTCTTACATCAAAAATGATAGGAAGGCTGCTGGACTTTATCTGTGACTAGGCCAAAAATTGCTTGAGGCATGACTTGGTAAAGAGGGACTACTACCTTAAATATTTTTCAAGGTGTTTCTTTAATCAGCGTATCATTTTTGCTGTTTTATATTCCAGAACAGTCCCCATCTGCTCCTTTCTTAGTGTGTGAATGGCTTCCAGAGGTCCACTTTCCATCATCTTTGAGTTTCCTGTGTTGAAGCTCCTTAGGTTTTCTAGATAGCTCTCGGATTCCTGCAAAGTTTGTTTTTTCAGAAGTGGGCTTTACAGAACTGTTTGAAGGCCTTCTAAGTTTTCTAATGTCACTCTGCCGATCAGATATCGGTCTGCCATCAGAGCGGACGAGAGGTGAACCAGAGGCTCAGTTTTTCCTGGAATTAATTTCTGAGCAGTAAATTTGAAACCTAGAGAGAATCCATCAGTCTGGGAGGCTGAGAGATTAGAAATCAAATCCCTTCCACTCTCCTGTGGCAGCTAGTATGACACTTGGGCTACTTGCTTTCCTTAACATGTTGTCCACTCTTGCTGCAAGGAGTGAAAACTTGGTGTGTTGTGTGTACCCAGGATTTCACATTTGCAAAGACCTAAAATAGTCAGGAGTATAGCATATTGCAGAAAATATTTTATTCAGAAGAAACAATGCAATTTAAAAACATCCCAGGAGGGAATTTGAAACCTTATTTAAATCAGATTGTTACTAGGACTGGGAGATAGCTTGTCAACAACTTACATGGGAAATGTAGAGAGGCCCTCCCCTATTAAGTGTTTCCCAGACCTTCAGGCTAATGAACTCACCTGTCTTTGGTTCGGCTTTCTGGTATGGAGCTGGAAACCTATTCAGCTGGAGAAGTCTTTGCATCTAGTGCAGTTGCTTGGAGAATATTAGGAACAACTTTCTGCCTAATACTTTTACTGTACTGTTTCTTAGGATGGACCCTAAATTAACACTGGCTTACCTGGACATCTCCCATGCCAGCCTGCTCAATGAAACCTGGTCACGGGGAGGCAATCCAAGGTGCCAGCAGTACCTTGCTAACCTCATTTGCTGCTTCCCCAGTGTCTGTATCTTGGATGACAAAGGACGTCCCCTCTCCTGGAGCCTGACAGACCAGTTTGCCACCATGATTCACAGTTATACTCTTCCAGAGCATCGGAGGAAGGGTTATAGCAGGCTTGTGGCTACCACTTTAGCTAAGAAAATGCATAGCCGTGGCTTTCCGGCACAGGGCAATGTCATGGAGACGAATATACCATCTGTAACATTGCTGAAAAGCATGAATGCCCAGTTTCTTCCCTGCTCATTTTTCAGAGTGATTCACACACCTCTTCATTTTTTAGCCAAACCTCACTTATAGCTCTGCACTCATCTCCATTCTTTGTGCACTATAGGAATTATTTGGTGACATTTAGCAACTTGAGTTACATCAGAATTCAGACAAGAAGATCCTGTTTTAAGCCTAAAATCAAACCTGGTAATTGCTTGTGACTTCTCTGCTGCTGGCAAACTGCTTGTGGCAAATCCAAAAGACTTAGGAATGGATGTAAGGTTAATAGTTTTGTTGTAATTCACCTGTACTTGATATTTCCTTTGTACTGCCTCTGACTGAAGAATTATTCTTTCTGTATAACCTCTGTATAACCATCTTCTGGGATACCTACAACAGAATCCTTGGACATCTCTAACCCTATCTGTCTTGCTTGGTACCAGACCTCAAGCCTCTCCTTTCCCTTGGATAGCCTAAAAGAGATTAGCCTGTGAATGTAAGAAGCAGGGAAACATGTAAAATTAAGTTAAAAGTAATTATAAAAATAAAATTGAATGAAAAGAGAAAAACTTTACTGAAGTCTTTCAATATCCAGCACAGGGAAAAGTCTATCTCCTTTCTTCTCTGTGTCTTCTTTATGATCAAGGTCACGTAGGTGAATTTTGGATGAAGTAGCTGTGTCTTATCAAACACATTTTATACAAAAGAATATCTGCACATCTATCTATCTATTTATCTTTTACTCGTATAAAAGCTAAACAAGCAAAGGCTGGATAAAGTTTTTGCAGATTTTAATTTCAACCCATAGGTGTTTTATCATAAGTCGGGAGGGTTATCCATCATTCCGGTTATCCAGGCATCTATCAATTCTGTGAGTAAATGACTCCAAATGCTTTGGAAATGCTTGTTTTTAGGGTGAAAGTAGGACTAACTGTTTTCACACCAGTATAAAACACACTTAAAATTTGGCAGACAAAAACTGTGCAATATTTACATTGTCTCTTGGTCAAGAATGCCCAAGTAGAGATGTATCTTTAAGGGAAGTGACAACACTTTCTAGGGACACGGGTATCTACTTTACTAAAGGCTGAATGCTGTTGATGAAATCCTGGTCTCAGTGAAATGAATGGAAGTTTTACGTTGGTGCCCTGAGGCTGAATTTTCACCCTTTGATTGATACTTAGAGGATTTCCTATCTGCATCATGGCTGAACTACACAATCTGGAGAGTGCTTGGGAGCAACAGTGAGGATGCTGTAACAGAAGGCTCTAGAAGGATGCATGGAAGCCTTCATTTGCCAAAGCTGATAAGCCTTTTATACAAGAGCCTACGGGGAGAATAACAATGTGATTGAGAGGTTGTTCCTTGAGCAGCACAACTAGAAAAGCCAGGTTACTATCATATAAAATACAAAAGTGTCTTTATATATTTGGCCAAAGGCATCTAGCGCCCAAGGATACCCTTCCTGATCCGCAGCTGCTGCTCCAGAAGACAAGTTTCCCATCAGTCACGTTTGCTAGCTCCATGTAGATATCCCTAATATGCCACAGTGTCTGAAATGACCCTGGGGCAGGATGCAGCTACTGTTGAACAAACATATGTGTCTACTTAGGGTAAGTTGAATCACTGTCTAAGCTTCCACTGACTATGTTGAGTAGATCTCCATTGACTAATGACAAAGTAGACACCTAGGGCTCTGCTCACTTGCTTAGACATAGGCCTCTAGACCGACTTCAAACACCTTCAGATATATAAGGCATCTTCAGGGTGTTCAAAGGACAGATGGGAGACCAACACTTTTCTGGGTTACCACTGGGTACTAGCTATCCTGAACCATCTCAAGCAATGCTCAATATCTAGACAACTGAAGTCCTAAGTGGACATGTAGACATTTACAGTCAGACACGAAAATGTATTTGTCTAAATTTATAGCTGAATCCTGCCCAGTTGCGTGTACTTTTTAGCTAACAGTATATGTGTCGAGGTACTACCAACACCAGTCACTATAATAGGAAGAGCACCTCTGAAGGTTTTTCTTGCTGGAGGTCATGGTCTTTTGCTGATCAAGGGAAATGTACATTAAAAGCATTCTGCCATTTTTTCAGTTGTTGCTGGGAAAGTTTTTTTTTTTTTTTTTTCTGATTGCTGAGCTGTAATTGTTTTAAATGTTTGATGAAAGCCAGGTGTGTGACCCATTATACCAAGTAATTTTCCTAGTCTTGTGATTTCTTAGCAGAAATGTAAGATGAGAAAACATGCTGGAAGTAAACCACAATTTAACTAAGGAATGAAAATTATGGTGGGTAAAATCATGAGTGTCAGACTCATGAATTTAAATTGGTATGCACTGAAGGGCTACATGTGATTCTGTAAAAAGGGATGGGGCCATGTTTGATAGGCTTTCACTTGGGAAGCTGCCACTGATATATCCATGCAGCAAATGTTTTAACTAGTTTCCTGACCTGCATCTGCAAGAGCTATTTCACCCAGATATGTCACGTTGCAGCTTTGTTTTCCCTCTAAACTGCTTTCCCTTAAACTGTAACTGCTTTATTCACATTGCTGCTTTGTTGCCTCCCTGTCCTCCTCCACTAATTCCACTTTCAGCAAGGTACCAATGTAGTTCCTTAGCTAGGAAAGGCCCTCTGTGTATGAGTCACACTGAGATTCAGCTGAATATGTGCTACCATTTTTTTACTGAATCTTAATCCTGAATCTTTTAGCTCTGGCCCAAACCAGCTTAACCAGGATCACACAGAAGGACAGACATAATGTAAAGAATTGAACCTGGGTCAACTGGGACCCAAGCCAGCGCTTTAGCCACAGGCTCAATAGCAACGTCCTGCTTTCATTTCCAGATCAGTTACCATAACAATGCATGAGCTTTGTAAACTTCTTAAGTAATAATGAAATAAATACTTAAAAAAACAACCAGGTCAACAAATTCTATATTGTCCTTAGCAGGGAATTGAGTAATGGATCAATTCCACTCCGTTCTCTCTACATGATGTAATAATAGGTAATGCAATGGAATTGCACAGCGTTGGCTTCTAGCAAGCATTGCACATTAGAGTGACCAGGAAGTTGTTATACAAAGCACTCTGACAGACCTTTATGTTTATGTATGTAGGGATGACTCCACTGAAAATCTCTAATTCTGGGAGAATAAAATTATCCTCTATCTAGTCTCTGTATTAGGGTATGCAGCAGATTCCCACTTATCTCAGTAGGGGTAAAGTTCACTTATTATAAGTTAACAAGGCCTCCTAAGTCTGGAATTATTTTCTTTGTGGTGCTCACCAGTTTTCTGTGAAGAAAAGAGAAGGTAAAGCTTGCTGATTTGTTAAGCTGGATTTACAGCTATGTGTAAAGCAGTCTGCATGTATCACATCCTGGTGAACCTGACCCTAGAGCAGTGAAACATCTGCTGGGGGAGCCTCTTCCACTACCCTGCTGATGCAGGAGGTGGCACTGAAGCCCTCCCTATCCAAGGCTGTCCTCCCCGTCTCCTGAAGCATAACCCTGTTCAACAGAGCATGAAAGAGTGCTTTATGCCAAGTGTGAATCCAAGCTCTGCTGCTTTATTGCTATCTGCCACATCACTCATTGTTCAATCCAAAATATGATTACTGACGATTATTCAATCCAAAAGAATTTCTTACTTGCTTCCTGCTTTTCACAGGCATATTAGTTTCCACACATGGGTGTGAGATTCAGACAACGTTCACCTGCCTCATGCTCCCCTGAGATTAGGCCTGTTTTTTGCAGCCCAGCTCTGTCATTGCCCTTCTGCTTCATTTGCGCTACCCTGGGTCCAGATGTAGGTGGTCCCTCTGATCTGGGACAAGGCATCCATTTGAAATGTATATTCCCAAAAAATAGCCTAGCGCTGTGATTTTTCCCTTGTTATGTGGTACAGTGGAATAAGTCAGAGGCCTTGGTTGCTTGAGTATGAGAAACCTCCTTGGGGCTCAGATAAATGAGTTTTGTATTACAGTTTGCTCAGGCAAAATAATGAAGACACTGATAAGTAGTTGTGAATGCACCAAGGTCTAGGTTGTCCCTATTTCAGTCTAACTGGTATGGAAAAAAATTGATTCTGCTTCTTGAGTTTGTCATAATAGGAGATTTGTTATAGATAGGATTTGTTAGAATGATGGCAAATTGCCCTGACAGATCAATTTTTATGTATAGTTGGAGCAGTTTAAAGTTATATAAAAATAATAATAATTACAAAACTGTAGCACAAACTCCATCTTCTGCTTTACTCATTAAGTGAATTTCTGTTTCAGTGCATCAAGGCAGAATTTTGGCATACATTTGAGACATATACATCAAAAGCTTTTCAAACTGCATAGTAAGAGGTATCGAGGCCATTACAATAAACTCATCTCCCCCTGTACGACTGTGTGCTAAGAGCTTCACTGTATTTTTCTTAAGGTAGAGAGAATCCTTTCTCCCACTTCTGCAGGTGAACGCTGGCAAGCTTAGTATCTTGGAGCTGAAGAATGACGTCAGGTCAATTCTCCGTAATGGGAAAGGGCACTGCACAACTTTAACTTAGAGTCAGGCCCCAAATCTCATAAGATGATTGTTGTTTAAGGACTTTGCATGCTGATGAATCCACCGGCAATGGAAAACTCCCAAAGGTCTAAGTCCCTCATAAGAAATTATGTTTTATTTACAGTTGCTTTAATCTAAATCATCCAGTGAATCCCCAAGCATTTGTCAACTGGAGTAAAGTGCATGTTTTGCAAGACACCGTTTTCTTTCTGGATATTTATACAGTGAGCAGTCCTTTTGTGGTTTTCCCGTTCAGCGCTCTTCCCGCTCAACATCTCATCTCTGACACATTTTTCAGAGCTCTGACTGTTTTTGTGACTTTTTTCAAATTTTCAGTGGATTGTCTTCTCCTCCTTTCTAATCTGAAGTGTGACTGCAGTGGGTAATACAACGTGGATAATGGATCATAATTATAGCACAGAAAGAACAGTTGGGGCAAAAAGCAATCTCAGCCAGTTCTGTAGGAGCATAGAAATTATTTGTCTTCCTGTCCAGTTACTATTCCAAGACTCAGGGAAGAAACACAGTTAAGGTGAAAAGTTTGGTGAATCCAGTTGGTCTTAAGTCTGCTGGTAAGAAAAGCTTTTAGCTATGTGTATCCACAGTAATCTATACTGTAAGTACCTCAGAGCTGGCTGACTGCGAAGCATTGCTCTTGAAACTACTGAAGTCTCTTGGATGAGATGGGAGCAAGGACTTAATGCCAGTGCTTCAGAATCTGATTTTATTTCCAGATATATTTCAAAACCGCATTCCAGAGGACATTGGTAGCTTTTACGATTACTCCAGGTTCCTGGTATTGTATAAATTAGTTGAACTACCTTTGGAGGATTATGCCATTTTCTAAAGATATGTTTATGTCCTTGTCTAGACCACTTCCTCCATTACCTTGCAGAAGATCATTTCAAATGGGAGGACACAAGTTTCACACTGCATCT